TTTTGGACCTTCAAAACTCCACCTCCTCCGGAGAATTTATACCCTTTTGCATTTAGGGCACTCAAGGAGATGAGATTCATTTTCAGATTTGGAACATGTTGAACCTGCCCAAGTGTTCTAATCGTCCCATCTTGTAATCGCAATCTAATTTGACCGATTTTAGTAATACAACAAGACTGCTTTTTCCCATTACAACTCTACTTTGCTGAACAGTCTCATATGTCTGAAATAAATTTCTATCGAAACACATATGGTATGAACATGCCGAATCAAGAATCAACTCCTCGTCAAGCCTAGATTCTACATCAGATAGACAGATACCATGGTTAACGTTACATCTTCGTCATTTGAAAAATTCTCGACTACATTTGTTTTGTCGACGTCAAAGATTGTGCTACACGATTTGCAGCTAAATCACCTTTAGTCTATAACTTATCACAATCCTTCCAAATATGTCCCTTACGTCTACAGTAGAAGCAAAACAAATTGCTGTTATTCTTCGATCTGTCCCTCCGTCGATCACCATGAGATACAAGAGCTTCATCATCCCTCGATGTAGTTTTAACCAAATACTTCAAATTTTCCTTTAAATGCAAAGCATCATAGACGTCGTTTATAGTCAAAGTATCCCGACTATACAAAATGGTGTCCTAAAACGACATTTAAGAGCCAGCAGCGAACATAACAGGATCAAGGTCAGATCTTCTTCATCATACTTAACCTCCAACGTCTCTAGATCTGTAACTATTTCCTTGAACACTGTAATATGGTCCTCCAGTGATCCTCTTTCTGCTATGCGATGATAATCTAGCTTATGCTTTAGAGCTAATTTGCTTGTGAGACTTTTAGTCATGCATAACTGCTCCAGTTTCAACCATAAGATAGCCGATGTTTTCTCCTTCAAGACATCCTGCAGAATATTCTTGGATAAATGAAGATGGATCTGCGATAAAACCTTCTAATCCTTCCGTTGTTTCTCCTCCGTTGCCCAATCAATTGACATCTTCTCAAAACCTAGCAACGCACCATCCAAATCTATATGCACCAGAACATCCATCATCTTTAATTGCCACAAAAAACCTTATATTGCGATCTAATTACGGAATATCACACGTTAACCCAGTCATCCCAAAAAAATCTCAACCAATCTACGAAAGGAACCAAGCTCGGATACCACTTGTTGATCCCAAATCGGATTGTAAAGAATGAGATTTAATGACAATATTGAAGTAAATAAAATCATACCATGAAAACAAGATTTAAACTAAAAAAGAACAAAAAGGGTTAATCATAGAGGAACAATATTTATTATTGAACAATACAGAGAAAACAAGTACAAATTAGCAAAATTGCTTCTTACAAAACTGAGAGAGGAGCTTCATAATTATAGGAAAAATCAATTCCTAAAAGTAGGGTTTTAAATGAAATAAAATGCCTAAAAGTTTCCTTATTTGAACTCTTCAAGTCCAACTCAAATTCCAATTCCAAATGACTTCAAAATAGAACTTTAAATACAATTTGACAATTAAACTTGAATAGGATTCCTCAAAGCATTCCAACTAGAATTCCTCTTAATGTGCACTTCAATTAAAATTCTATAATTATTTCAACAAAAGAATTCGGGTCACCCCAAAATTCTAACAAAAATTACCTCAGAATGAGAGAAGCAATCATTTTCTGAAGAAAACAAAAGGAATCCCCATCTCTTCAGCTACATGATCTGGAAAGCTGAGGATATCATCAATTATTATTTAGGTGATATGCCCTTGATCGCAATTATAACTTAGCCTATCCAACTGCCTTTGAGCTCATCATGTTTTCATGGTACGCTCCTAATCACAGGGTAGTTCAGAGGAGAAAACTTTAGTGAGATGGTCGCAATCGTCGAATGGGGAGCCACAACCTCATTAGGTAGCCCACCCTGAGACTTGATTACCAATGAGGTGACGGTCACCTTTCGACGATCGCACCATGCAAAATGGTGCGATCATCCCACCAAAGTATTTCTTGGTTCAGAGAAAGGTTGTCGAAAATGATGGTTGTACGAAAGCTGGTAACGTGAAGCTTGGAGAGTGATGTAGTATAAATGTAAGAAATGAAGAACACATTCAAGATTCATTGATTCTATGTATACTCACAAACTTTGAAAACAATAATTCATATATTTCAGATTGAATATCGAACAATTGACAAAAGATTGAGAAAATGCAAAACAATATTTTATTTATGTTAAGACTTAGGATTTCTCTTAATAGGTCAACATTTTTAAGAGGAGTAGCCCAAAACTTTATAAATTGATCTATATTTTCATCTTTATTTGATGTCAAATTTTATTACTTAACACGTCTTTGTAAGATGGTGGCTCATTTGAGCAGACCAATCTTAAAATCTGTATGCTCATTTATTGGGTCTTAATCGGATCGAATCCCACGTTGGAGTTTATGGACTCTAATACCATGTTAAGATTTCTATTGTGGAAAGGAAAACAGAGTTCTTGTTTGGAAAGAAAAAAGAAAGAATATTGACCATATTGTATTGGAGTCTTTTCCTTATACTTTAGTTTTGCCACAAGTTAAACAGAAATATAATTTAGTTGGTAGATATATTTGTAGAAAAGGTCTTGCAATGCACTTAGGAAAAAAGATCTGCAATGCAATTAGGTCACTTAAAATTGTAAATAAACATACACAATAATACAAGGATTGTAGATGTGCATGTCACAGAGATTTATGGTGCAGCAAAATTCTTCTTAGGTTTAGAGTGAAAATTGTGCAGCCATTGTGTGAGAAAAAGAGAACTTTAGGGAGAAAACTAGAAATGATGTGCTTGAGCATTTTAGTTTTGTTAGGGAGAAGTTGAGAGAATGAAAAGTAATGATATTTTACATCAATTGGCTATGCTTGAATTTGGAGAAACAAATTAAGTATAATATTATTTAGAATAATTTTATTTAACACCAATAGTAATCTATAACATTATTTTATAATTTATCTCCCTTTAAGATCAATCACTCATGTATGTGGCACGTGATATGCCATGAAATGACAACGTCAATTGAATTTTTGATTATGAAAATTTGTGTATTGCTATGATGTCACATCATATGATGATTTTTGGAGATAGTTAACATTACTCAAAAATTATTTTACGAAACCTACTCGGTCCTGTCAACAGGGCTTGTCAATTGGCCTGTTTGACAAGCAAAAGCCTTATTTTACTAGATAGACAATGCTATGAGAAGCTAGTTGGTATTTTTCTATGTTATCCTTTTGATAAAAGCTATATTAACATATCTAAAAATTTAACAGACCGCACCATTAATAGGGCAGAGGCACAAGCTATAGATGCTCGCAAACTTTTGTTGACGAGTAAGTTTTCATTAGCCCCTTTCAATCCTAGCCGTGCTGTCCACCCTCTTTTTGAACAACTTTGGACATCAGTAAATCGCCGATTGTTTGCAACTGATGCTAATCGTGCCTTCCATTTACTGGACCAGCCAGGCACTTCTTCCACTTCTCCTATTTTGGTCACCCCTGTGTCCACTAGGAATCCTTCCTTCCCTGCTCGTGCTAAACAATCTATTCGTCCATCTACTTCTCTACCTTCCAAGGCTACTGCAGCTAAGAGTGCCTTAAGCCGCAAACGGCCAGCTTCAGCATCTCCTACTTTAGAGGATGATGATGATGACGCTCCTCTCATCGTTAGGAGAAAGGTAATTGAATTCTATTTATTCACAAACATACCTTTCTATGTGCTAATGGTTTACTCGAAACCTTTCTATGTGCTAATGGTTTACTTGAATTTCTCAGAAAAGTTCAGCCTTTCCTTTGAAGGCTTTAGTGTTGGCAGCTCCTGCTCCATCATCCTCTGCTGAAGCTGCTTCGTCCAAATCAGCTGATGAAGGGACTATGCTTAAAGAGAAACCTTCAGTCCCGGAACCTTCATCACAACCAATGGAAGAGCCATCTTCTTCCCAGGGCGCCGACCCCCCAAACATCGAACCAGAAGGTAATACATTTTTTGATGTTTTACCTTTGCTTGTACTATTGGTTTCTGATTTGTTGCTTCTTGAATTCTGCAGAGGCTCCCATGGGTCTACCCATTGTGGCAGAGTCTTCTCGCCCAGATAAGGGGAAGTCTCCACAGGTGGTGGAGCCAACTGGTGATATGCCACTTCCCAAGATTGCTGATGAGGTAACCTTTCGCTTCACTTTCATTTTACTTCGCTTATTGTAGTGAAAGCTCTCAATGTTGACATTTTTCTTTGCAGGGTGCTGATGACATTGTGCTTCCATCCAGGACTTGTTTACTTCTTGGGGACAAGTCAAGACGTCTCGCCCTACTTCAACCGATCGTCCTTTTGCTTCTTTAGAGGAAGATATGAAGTTTCTCAAGTAGTTGATATTTGAGTATGTGTCTTTTATGGACATGGACATCGGTCAGACTAGTGCTGCTAAACATAAGGATAAACTTGAGCTATTGAGTGCGAAGTTGGTGCAAGCACTGACACTTCTGTCGCTCAATATTTCTGCTGATTTTAAAGCGACGTTGAAGGTTGTCCACTCTGACATCCTCTCCTTGCTGGCCAAAGATGTTGAACTGAAAGTCAGGAGTACTCAATATCTTCGCGTTGCATTTGAAAGAGAGTCTTTGCTCTTAGAGATTAACAAAGTCGAGGACGAATTGAAAGAAATCTCTTTCGAAGTCATGGTTGAAGACTCCTTGATGACCAGTTTGGCTGCAGAGATGAAGGAGCTTCAAGCAAGGATGGACAACTGTAAGGCGAGAATGACTGTTAAAAAGCATAATGCTTCCCAAGGAATTGAGCGAATCAAGTCTTTGGTCGAGCAATACAAAAAGCTGGAGGTTGATGACGATTTTGTAGCTG